CACCAAACCAAAGCCCATGAAAGTCACTCTTCAAGACTTCAAATCAAATTTCCAGGTGGTTTAAGAAATTTGACACTGTTGCTCTGTATGCTACTATTTAGTCTCATTTCTTGTGGTATGGGCATCAATCCCTTTCTGAGTGACAATGCCTGTTCAAACCAGAGTTGTTGCCTACTACAGCCCATAAATGCAAATTAATTTTAAATTAATACACTTTAATTAAACAAAAACTACATTTTTTAAACTCCCCCCCGAATTTCTTCATTTATTTGGTTTAATTTTATTTTTATTTATATTATTTTACTTTAATATGTACTGAATATCAGTCTGCATAGAGTTGGATACACCCACACAAACTAAATGTAATAATCCCTTTGTCTCTTTTGTTAATGTCTGTTGTCTCATCTTCTGTGTTACGTCCTTTGTCCTGTAAATATGTTATTATTCATGTTGCAATAAAATAAATAAATAAATACATGTAAATTAGCATGACATTGCTTTGATTTTGCTAAATGACAGTTTCATTCAACTAACTAGATACCTGTACAAATATGCTTTGTTGTAGCGCAAAAATCATTTCAGTTTCCTGTCACCAGAAAATTATGGATTTCTCCTCTAATATCTGTGGTAACTGTATATAACTCCATGGTTAGACTGAGGTGTATCCGTATTCCCACTGTCCTGGAAATGTTCTGCACTGTTCGCTTTGCTGATCGCAGCCAAAGAACAGAGATCAGAGGCTGCTGAGTCTACCACAGTTAGGTGATTTTATTATGTGATTTCTGTCTGATGTCTATCTTGTCTCTGTCTCTTTGCATCTATCCTTCCCTCCCTCCCTCCCTTCGTGCCTCTCACTCACTCGGCTTCATATGTAGCCCTGTTTAATCTTATTCCCGTGGGTCTGAGAGTGGTGGCCATCCAGGGGGTGAAGAGTGGCTTCTACATTGCCATGAATTGCGAGGGCATGCTCTACAGCTCGGTAAGATAGAACCCCTTGCTCCAGTAACACTGTTAGGTTGTGTTTTGTTCTGATTGTTGCAGCAAATACTCATCCCTTCTAAACCCTTTTCATATGTGCTCCATTTGAGGGCTCTTCAGATGTCCCTGTGTTGCTGTGCACCCACTTAGCACTCCCCCTTCCCCACTGAAGTAACACTGTGCATGTTTTACATTTACTTTAGGTTCAGTGCTCAGCCCTTTTTATAGCTTCTTCTTTTACTGCTACTTATGGAGGCTGATTATGCAGCAGCTATAAACACAATTCCACTGAATTTCATAGTCTTTTCAATGTGAATGATGTTGTTTTGCTCTATTCAGGATTCATAATGTTGTGCAGCAATACTACACAGCTAAATGTCTTTTTTAATATTAATTCAATCTGAGCTGTAAATTTATTTCACTTCTTATTTCTGATGTAAATCTTTCTTCAGCAATTAACTTGAGCCAAGTGTTTTTTTTTTTTTACATTAGCCAAAGCTCATCAAAGTTCCTCACAGGCCATGAAAAAAGGCTATTTACACAATAGCTTCTTATACATAAATACATACATACACACACACACACACCAAACGGGGGCACAGGTGGACACAGTCACAGAGAATGTTAGCCCCAAATCTGCCCCTGCTGCTTCAGGACTTGGCGATGGCAGTGTGATCATTGCCATCGTGATGAATGACTGGAAAGACCTAGAATTCGTAAAGTTCTCATCAAACTTTTTCATTCTCAGTATACTCATAAAACGAAGGACAGTGTCTGCTGTCTTGCAACTTACATTTATTGATAAAGGAACTGATTTACTGCAAGAGAGACATGACAGCAATCTGCAATATACAAGATAAATGATGTCTATGCTGCATAACAAAGAGTGCACTTGAATAATTGCAAAGTCTAGTAAATTCAGTGCCATTATTTCAGAAGGACAAGCATTTTAAGTAAGTACAGCTTGAATCCAACTCAGAGGTATGCACACTTATGAACTCAGAGGATGATGTACAATGAATGTGAGGCTGTTATGTCTCACTCATGTAGATGCATTCATTCATAAGTACAGGCTATAAACAAGTGCACAAAGTGGCACACAACATGTGCATAATGCACAAGTCCTACTATAACACATAAACATCATTTAAGGGCGGCATGGTGGAGCAGTGATTAGCCCTGGCCGACCTGGTGCCTTTATGTACGGAGTTTGCATGTTCTCCATGTATCTTGTGCACTGGTGTATTTTGCTGATGTGCTATTATCATTACTGATTAATATTATTATCAACACTGGAGGTCTGTAACAGAAAAATAAGCCAGTCCAGGCTGGAGACTGTCAGACATTAACTATGCCGCAATTCACTGCTGGTTTTAGTCTCTGTATGGGGATTGTTGAAAATACTAATAATATAGAAAATGACTGGCCTTATCCTTTATGAACACAGGAGCAAATATTTTGACCTTTCTATACCAGGGAGAGAGGGTGTTTGTCAGAAAGGCAAGACATTTTTGTGATAAAACAGTGGGCGTGCTCTCTGGCCATATGGAAGAGTTCTAGTTTCTCAGATGTGAAGCTTGGAAAATTAGCACATGCACTGGTAAACAGAACGCAATAGGCTGGATCAGAAGGAAGCTCCTGAGCCTTGGAAAGTCACAGAATGCTCATAAAGAAGCTAAATTAACATGCAAGCCATTAAATGAAAGCACAGTTAGGACTCTCTTTCTACAAACCAGACTAATTTATTAATACTAATTATGAATGTGATAATGGGAGAACTCCTTAAGTGTTTCAAGAGGAGAGTAAAAGGGAACATTTTAGTCACAGATTGGTGAGTGCAATAGTGCAATAACAACTATAAATGAAGACTTTCACTTCCATTCTCCATACTTAACATTCACTCTTATTATTATTTGTCTAGGTCTTTATCCACACATAGAAGCATTGGTTGTCTTGTTTTGTCTTCCTAACATGTGAGAGCAGAGATACAGATGGATATCCTCCTACCTCTCTTACCACCCCATATGTGGGGGAATGTGAGTAGTTTTATCTTCTATGTGTTTGACATGAGATGATGAGATCTTATGGTGCAACTTGGAGAAGCCTGTTTCCCCGTCGGTCATAGGTGTCAGATAGGTTCCTAGACATTTACTATATCTATTGACCAGTTAAGTGGTTACGTACATGCTGTTTGCTGGTTGGCGCCTCTTACCTCGAGTGTGTAGCTCACAGTTGAACCTGCTGCTGTTTGGAACCTGATGTAACATTGGGTGAGCAGGGTGATAATGCTTGTGTGGAGTGTGCAGGGATGAGCATCTCCAGTGAAGAATTCCCTTCCATTATTTATAACACTTCTCAGTATGACCTATTTTACTGCACAGTGGAAACCGCTGTTCTTTTTCTTTGTTTCTCCTAAGCTATCCATCTGCCAGTCTGTCTGTCTACAGTATCTATCTAGATATCCACACTCACATGACAAGAAGAAGAAGGATTTATAATTCAAAATTTAAACCAAACAGCAATGGCATAGCACCCCTAAAGTCTAGTGTGACTACACAATGAATTTAGCTATTGTGAGTGGGTGTTTTGACAGCCTAGCCCAATCTCCAGTGAGCAATTTGTGTTGTAAAACAACACAAATTGAAGACACAAACCTACAAGTATTCATTACAGAGTAAATTCAGAGCCACGTGCCTTCTAAAACAAAAGACTAATGTACATGGAAACATAGAATCACTAGGGTTTCAGCCCGCAAGCACTGGCTGGGAGACTCCTGGAACTGATTTAGTCGTCCCGGATCAAAATTCAATCTGGAAGAATTTTTTAAAAATACTGACTGAACATATGGAAGGAAAATGCCAGGAAAAGTACAAATTCAAATGGAAGGCAACTCTGCGCCACCAACAGAGAACCTGATATTGCACAATTTATTTTAATTAAATTTGTTTAGGCAACATATACCAACATCTTCTGTCTTGCTTTGTAGTGTTATGGTTTGGTGGTATCAAGGTGCTGAAGGGATTCCTGTACTGTGCACTATGAATGCTGTCATCCAGCAGATATTTTCATATCTTGATGATATGAAAGGGCAAAGTGGTCTAACTTGTGGCTTCAGCTCTGTCTATCTGTGACTGCTGGACTTGTAATGTCTGTCTTTGTTGCTGGATCATGCTCTCAGTGCAAGTCTCTATGGGTGAAAGAGAAATGAGTAGAATGAGTAGAGATACTGAATGTTTGGATAATCAGTGTTTTCTTTATGGCCATTAAATTATACTATGTCTATGTGTTTGCAATTTAATTTTAGCTGTTAACTAACTATGTCCTCTGGTTCTGTTTTGTCCTCAGGAAGGACAAAACAGAACCTTGTTTTAAACTGATTGACTTTTAGAGTAAGACAGAGAAAATGATAAAGAGTGAGGGCCAGAGACAGGGATATAAAAAGTGAGAAAGAGTTTCTCGGTTTATGTAATGTCTAGACAAGCCCTGACCTGAATCTCTGCTAGAATAATAATGAGGTCCGCGGGAGTTCCATGACAGGCCTGAGATTCTCACCGAGGAGGCCAAATAGCTCAGATATATCAGCAGCTGCAGAGGTCCTGCCCATGTCCTACATGTCTTTATCCAAAGTCAAAGAACATCAGCAGCAGGGTTTTTTAATGCAGAGGGGGAGAGATAAGCTAGTAACTGATTTGGATTCAGGATGCATTCAGCTCAGGTAAAATAGTTTGACATCCATTACATCTTGCTTTCCTGCTTTGTTTCATGGAACATTTCACACCTCTGCCCCTACCTCTCCCTCAATCCACAAGCCCACAACACACAAGCGTGCATATCATCTCACTCATATCTATCTGAATATACAGTATCATCTTATAGCTTTGTTGCTGTTGTTTGTTTATTGTGTGGCAGCAGGTTCATAATTAAGATATGTTGCAATCCAGAGAAAGAGATGACACCTGCTATTACAAAATCATGGCTAAAATGAACATAGCTCAGAATAATTCATTTCAGAACTTCAGTATAGTGACCTAATGAATGTATTTTCATCCCCATTAACATTTGCAAAGACGTTTTATTGAAAACCTGCATCGTTTACACCCGCCAGAGTTCATTAGTATCCAGCTTCTGTTGGAGCACTGCCACATTTCATTAGGCATTAACATTACAACTATCCATCAGTGGAACAGCACAAAGCTGTTATAACATGGCCATTTGTTGAAGTACCAGCAAATTACCATTGCACTGGTTGATTTGATGTGCAGGTTTAGCTAGCAACTGATATCCCTAAATACACTAAATATTCTGTATCATGTTTCAAATATTTGTCATTTCTTCTTCACATTTTATAACTTGCATTCATTAACATATTCACATTTCTGCACCACATCTGTGTATTGCATCACCTGTGAGCCTTGTGTCCGTTTATAGAGAAGTGGAATCAAATAAAGTGGTAACTGGGTCATCAAATCACTACGTACATTTAATCATTTACTTGCATGCAATATTTCCTTGTACTGGACTGTGGTGATGTAAGTGATATGCATGGCTCTGCCACAGCCCTAAAACCCCTTGTTACTGAAGATCCTTTCAGGACTGACCATTGTGAATTATATCAGACAACAGGATGGCCATCTTTGACACTGACAAGAAAACATCTTGTATTTTATTTATTTATAAAGCCTTACTAAAAGGTGCTGTTTGTAAGATCTAGAAGGATTTATTAGAAGAAATGGGCTACAGTATGCATAATTGATTTCATTAATGTATAATCAGCAGAAAATAAGGATCGGTGCATTTTCTTTAGCTTAGAATGAGCCTTTTATATCGGCACAGGAGCAGGTCCCCTATCATGGAGGCTGCGATGTTTTTGTAAAATAGCCCAGGATGGACAAACCACACACAGGCATGACTTTTGCATTTTCACGTGAAAGTAGCAGCTTGAACTGGGAGGTGGCTGGAAGACAAAAAGAAGTAATGTTAGAAACAAGAGGAAGCATTGTCGTGAGTTTAAGAACTATAATTTGTTGAACGGAGGATCATAGTTAAACTTTAACACAAGAAAAAGGAAGACATGGTGAATCCCTGCCATCTAAGAAGCAAAGGCAGATGGAAAAATGTTGTAAAAACTCATGTAAATTGCTCTGCATGCCTTAAAACTGCTAAAATATTTATCTT